CCCCCTTAGCTATATACATCAAGTATACTTCTAACAAGAAGTTAAGGGACACCAAATCGTTTGACTTGACTATGTGTAAATGTGATCTTTACCTTCTTGAATAGTATATAATACATTGTACATATGTTTACACTGTATCGCCTTGTGCATACCGTGGTGTGGTGTATATGTAAATATGCATTACCGCACTCTACGTAATAAGCGCCCAGGGCACTCTCAAAATTAGAAATAGGGGGCTCTTATAAGAATGTTATGTTGGTGAAAAAACATTTCGTGGTTTATGCTGACAGCCTGAAATGTTCATATACGACAGATATATTTTTCCAGAATTAAATTGCCCATAATTAAGGGTGATATAACACACGAGTGCGTATTATACGCGAATAAAAAAGTCTTTTGTACATTGATCAATTGGAAGGGGTGCTAATTGGGATTGTTCACAAGCCAATATATTAGTAAATATCACCGTGGGCGCTTATTAGAGCGGGGCGCTTATTACGTCGAACACGGTATTATAACCGTTTTAAAGTACTCAGTATATAATTATGTATTTTATGACAAATGTGTTATGTATTTTTCCTAATGCCAAGCGCGGAGTATGTCCCTGTTGAAGAGATCCACCAAACGTTTACGTTGATAAAGAACATTAGCACAATTGATCGCTTCGTATTTCTATACTACCACAACCGCCTCCGTGGTCTATAGGTAGAGCGTCCACCCATAGAGTGGAAGGTCATACCAAGAGACGTTAAAAGATGGTACTTGTTGTTACCCTGTCTGGCGCTCGGCATTAAGGGGCTAAAACAAGGACTGGTCGGCTCGGAGTCAGTATACAGTGTCTCAGTGGGGTATTCATGTTAAACTGCGGCATGGTATCTCAGTGGGCTAGCACTATAAATCGGCATCAGTCCGGACTAGTACAAGCAGCCACACACACACACACACGTGCACGTCACTATATAACTGCAATAATCTTGGACGCGACGTTAAACTAAATTTCACCTAACCTCACCTCTATAATCCTTCACGTTAAGTGGTCGTTCAATTTGTCTTGATCAATAGCATTAGTGCCAAGAAAAAGTACTCCCATGTTTTTTTATTTGGGAAAATGATCATCTTTCCAAACAACATCGGGCCATCATTACTCACATGGAGGATGAATGGTCTGGTGTTCATATACGAGTTAAGGTTGTTGTGATTAACGATGGGCTCCAGTTGCCACGATCGTGAATACCAGAGCGACATGTGTAACTAGCGGAATTGTATGCAATACGTTCCTAATTGATTAAGCGATGTCAGATTCAATAAAATTTCTATATATTTTTCACCACTTCGTGTGGCCTTATTAACTTTGCCATTTCACATCAATGCGTGCGCTTCACTCATTTTTATAATGAATGGTTTTCCGAAATTAACCTGACAAACTTCTATTTTCCATGATGTAATAAAAAGACTGATGTTCAATGAAACAGAGACACGATTTAAGTGGGGCGGAATATTCCCTGAGTTTTGTTACATGCAATGAAACAGATAAAGAAGAGTTTGGAAATGGATCGAGAGATGTAGAGCTTAAAGGTTCATTTACTCTTTGTTCACAAATATCGTCACAATTAGCATCGTTACTCGCACTTGCTGCTTTTTGGGCGCTGAGTATTTAGAATCAAGAAAAAAAAACCTTTCACACAACGAATAACATATTCGTGTCCGATACTGAGGGCTAAACCTTCAAAGAAGCCAAGTAGGTCGGCTCTCCTTGTTAAGGTCCCTGGAGTGAGTGAGTGAGTGAGTGAGTGAGTGAGTGAGTGAGTGAGTGGGTTGGGTTTAACGCCGCTTGTTACGACGTAAATTGTAATAAAAAGGTAAATTGTAATACTTGCAGCAAATTGTAATAATTTTGACGTAAATTGTAATAACAACGTAAATTGTAATAATATTCGACGTAAATTGTAATAGGCAAATTGTAATAAAAATTGACGTAAATTGTAATGATCTCAACTTGCGGTAAAATGTAATAACTTTTTTCGTAAATTGTAATAACCTTACTACCGTGGTGTTTACAATTTACGTGAAAATTATTACAATTTGCTGCAAGTATTACAATTTACCTTTTTATTACAATTTACGTCGTAACACCGCTTTTAACAGTATTCCAGTTATATCGCTGCGTGTCAGCTTAATGTGGGAGGAAAGCCCGAAGTGATGCAGGTCTCAGACGTTCATCACTTCGGTGAAACCCACGAGCACGGGTATGGTGCTGACAAACCTAGAAACATAATCGGGGCGAACCGGGATTCGAACCCACAATCATATGTTTCTGGCGTGCCCAAGGGACGCAACTCTGCACAGCGAATCGCGGCGCCTTAGACGACTGGGCCACCCGTGCCCCCTAAGGTCCCTGGAAGTGACACCAGTGCCACGCAGTAAAGGTGGTTCACATGCTGTATTATCCAGGTCATTGAGTCGCTATTCTATTAAAAGTATATGCTGCTAAAATTGCCGTTCAAATGAGTCATGAGCGAGATACATTCTGTAAATAATAAACAATGTGCGAGAGAAACTCTTTTCTAAATAAATAATGTAAATAATAAATAATGTGCGAACTAAATTCTGTGCTAAATAAATAACGTAAATAATAAATAAAGTGCGAGAGTAATTCTGTGCTAAATAAATAATGTAAATAATAAATAATGTGCGAAATAAATTCTGTGCTAAATAAATAATGTAAATAATAAATAATGTGCGAGAGAAATTCTGTGCAAAATAAATAATGTAAATAATTTAAAAAAAGTGCGAGATGAAGTCTCTGCTGTGTGACGGGTGTCAAGGATGGGGGAGGATACGCTCACCTTTTCGCGAACACCTGGGACATCACTATTTGATAGTGATTCATGAACACATGCTCATAATATAGTCGGAATCCCACAATCGACTCTTCTGTTTTCAGATTTCTATTGGATTTTGTCGCTTTATTTAATTAATTATTATTAAGTAATATGAGAGGTTAAGATGGTGACGTCACTTTCGAAACTGAGATTCGGTGGCGAGGGCGTTCGTTGTATTTATCATAACAGGATAGAGATGTAATAGAGTATGGCAATAAAATGCTCGTTAACAGGATGAGTCCGGAAAAGAAGCGAATCCTGATTATTAACCTCATTGAGAATGCTGTGAATGAAACCATTTAAATGAACGTTATTAACGAGCTTAACATTGTAACACGAATGGGAGTATTTGCTTCAATTTGATTGGTTGTAAAACGTGATTAAATATGATTCGAAGGCCCGACATCTCCTTGAGTGCGCATGACGTTTCACTGCGTATGAATACTTTTCTTGATAATCATATATTTTTTTCTCAATCCCAAATTTGAAAATCGAGCCATGGGCTTGGCGAAATGGATACAACGTTAATTAAATTTTACGTTTTATCAACATTTATCAGAACAACTTCGATATAGTTGTTCTTTTTCCTCATTTACTAATCAGGCAGTTCATTTGTCACAGAAGCATGTGACGTCATACAATCTACTATGCCGTCTTCGTATCCAGGGTAACGTTATAACATTCAAGAGTGACGTCATGCCTGTCCCCCAGCTGTGAGAAGACGTTCTTCCTAAAACGACTGATAACTTTATAATGTCAATAAGCATTCTGTGTTCTCAGATTTGAGTTTTTGGTGAGTATTCGATGCCCAGAGATTTTGACATTTGAAACCTTAGACTAACGCCCTTGGTTTCGAATGAAAATACCCACAATACCACATAATGTTTATCTCCTAATTTTGACAGCTTGAACATGTATTGGAATTTATAAAAAATATGTGTATACTTCCAATAATAAATCATGTTGCATTTCCGGAGATGCAGATGTTTCTGGATGATATTGTCAAATATATGTTTAAAACATCGACCACTTCAATGAAAGTGAACCAGGCTTAAAGTTGTCGAACAAAATGGCGGCTCCTGTATCAATTCGGACTTTCTGATTGGTCAGTCATGTAGCTTGTTTGACATTTGGCGAGGGCTTAATTGTGTGGATCGTTGCTCATGCTGTCAGTCACTGGAATGTCTGGTACATACTCGATTATTTACAAACTGCCTCCGTGTACCTGCAATGTTGCTGAATGCGTCATTAAACAACAAGCAAACAAAGACACCACTCCAGCCCTATTTGTGGACCATCGGGTTTATATCTCGAGGTACGGAAATCGAGCACCGGGCGTTATTTAGAACAGGACCAAATTGTGGTTAAATATCGTTAAGCACATGCTTTGTTTGGCCACCGGGAGCTCTGTCGAGATACATACATGTCGCGTTTGACCCTAGGGACATTTAAGTCCAGATAAATACATTTCGAGTTTGACCCTCGGAGTTCAGTCGAGATAAACACATGTTTGGTTTGACCACCGGGTGTTCAGTCGAGATACATACATGTCGAGTTTAACCATCGGCTGGTAAGTCGAGATAAATACATGTCGAGTTTGAACACGAGTGTTAACTAGATATAAGCACAAAACGAGTTTAACGATCGGGTGTTTAGTCGGGATAATCACGCGCCGATTGAGGTGAGGTGAGTTAGGTGAAATTGGGTTTAACGTCGCGTCCAAGATTTTTGCACTTATATAACGACGTCCATGCACTTGCGTGCGTGCGAGCGTGTGTGCGTGTGTGCGTGTGTGTGTGTGTGTGTGTGCTTGTACTACTCCGTACTGATGCCGATTTATAGTGCTAGCTCAGTGAGATACCATGCCGCAGTTTAACATGAATACCCCACTCAGACACAGTATACTGACTCCGAGCCGACCAGTCTTTGTTTTAGCCCCTCAATGTCGAGCGTCAGACAGGATAACAACAAGTACCATCTTTTAACGTCTTTTGGTATGACGCGGCCGGGAATCGAACCACGTACCTTCCGCTCTCCGGGCGGACGTTCCACCACTAGACCACGGAGGCGGTCGCGCCGATTGAGAACTAACGACAGTTGTCTGTGCTATATTTTCAGATCAGCTACGATGAACCCACGAGTCAGCCAACTCCTTCTGTCTTTCATTGTCTTCATTGCATCCACGTGCCTTGTGACGTCGGCAGTGTTGCCTAGCGACGAAACTGGAGACTTAAGTGTCATTGGCTTACAAGACAAACGGAACTTGCGCGACGGTGAGTAGAGTCTTAGAGGTTCCATTTCAAACGAAAGCAGTTGGTATCCTGTAGCTCGTCTCACAGGAGGCACGGGCATACACACAATGCGACCTTAGCAGTACTTGCAATGAACCCCGAAATATTCGGGTAATAAATGGTCTCAGCATCCCACGATTATCGTAAGAAGCGGACCCGTGAAGATCCGGGGTAGAATAGGTCTTCAGCAACCTATGCTTGCCGTAACAGGCGACTATGCTTGTCGTAAGGGGCCACTAACGGGATCGGTGGTCAGGCTCGCTGACTTGGTTGATGCATGTCATCGTATCACAATAGCGATGATCAATGCTCATGATGTCAATCACTGGATTGTCTGGTCCAGACTCGATGATTTAAAGACCACCGTTATATAGCTGGACTATTTCTGAGTGCGATGTTAAGCATCAAACAAACAAACATAGGAAGCGACAAGCGGAATCGGTTGGTCAGACTCGCCGACTTGGTTGATGCATTTCTGGACCAGGGCCCTCTTCCACAAAGCGATCTTAGCGGTAAGATGATCGTAACTCCATACTTAAACATAGGCTTAGGACAGTCGTAGCGCTAAGATCGCTTTGTGGAATGGGTCCCAGATCTGATTGTTTTAGATTGCTGTCATATTGCTGCAATATGGAACATTGCCCAGTGCAACAACACGAAAGGCATTGACGTTGTTAATTCTGACAGACTGCTACGACCGCTTCGTGCAAACGGGCCCTGACTTCATGTCCCCTCAGAGTGCAATGCTGGCAGTATTGTGTACCCCTGCCGAGATATAGCGGGAATATTCCCCTTACCCAACTACTGTACAGTTTCAAAAGACTCTCATTGTGAGTGAATGCATTGGTGATAACGTCGCTTTGAACAGGGCGATAGTGGATGTCATAAGGAAAGGATCCAATTTTATGATTTCTTAAAAGGAGTGTCAGTTAAAGGAAAGAAACATAAAGTAATAAAGACGGTTAGGTGGGGGTGAAATGGGGTTTAACGTCCCGTCCAAGATTATTGCACTTATATAGCGACGTGCTTGTACTAGTCCGGGCTGATGCCGATTTATAGTGCTAGCCCAATGAGATACAATGCCGCAGTTTAACATGAATACCCCACTCAGAGACAGTATACTGACTCCGAGCCGACCAGTCCTTGTTTAAGCCCCTTAATGCCGAGCGCCAGACAGGGTAACAACAAGTACCATCTTTTAACGTCTTTTGGTATGACGCGGCCGGGGATAGAACCCCGGACCTTCCGCTCTCCGGGCGGACGCTCTACCATTAGACCACGGAGGCGGTCAAGTAATAAAGAAAGTTTTTTCTAAAGGACATTTTGGGGATATCTTCCCTCAGGCCACTTATTTTGAATGCTCCCGTTACATTACCGGACTCGGTTGGAATAAAACAAAAACCTGAATATAATGCATCGACATTTGTTACATTTGGTTAAGGGCGTGTGTTAAACAAATCATAAATATCCCGCTCAATACTTAAATATTTTTAAATTCATCTCAACAGAGGGTATAGGATATGGGTGCGTCATTAGGTCCAGCTATTTATCAATTAAGGGCCATCACCGATTATATGAATCGGTGCTCATACTCTCGATCACTGGTTGCATGTGATACCTTTCGCCATTAAACAGATTCAACTTACCGCTTCGTTGATCACAATTCACCTTTTCATGCCCCGAGAGTGACAGTAGTCATAGAGAACTAGTAAGTATGATTGCACGTCGCTTTTATCAAAATGCCAACAATATCACGACGGGGGACACCAGAATTAGGCTGGAAACATTGTACCCATGTGAGGAATCGTACTTCATAGATCGGCTGTTATGACATGCTCATATTCCCTTAACGTCTAGGCACAAGCCCCGTGGTCTACTTGATAAAGCGTCGGCCCGGAGAGCGGAAGGTCTGTGGTTCGATCCCTTGCCGATTCATACCAAACGACGTTAAGATCTGGTACTTGTTGTTACCATGCCTGACGTTCGGCGTTGAGCCGATAATAAAAGGACCGACTAGGAATTAGTATACACACACACACACACACACACACACACACACACACACACACACACACACACACACACACACACACACACACACACACACACGGGTATATACGTGAGATAATCTTAAAAGCCATCCCATCTGACCTCACCTAAACTTAATCTTCAACTCTCTCAGAAGTGTATGGAATCCTGTGAGGGACATTCTCGCAATCTCGACAGCAATTTCCGGGACAAGCATTATGTGCTTAATCCGTTGTACAGACCAACATCAGTATCCCAAAAGACACGCAAAGTGATGTAGGCATGAGTTCACAATGATAAGTTTGAAACTATAACATATTTCATCTATTCACCTTTCACCTGTGAGTCGGTTCGGTAAAATTCTACCTTACACTCAAAGATTAAACTGTTGGTGTGTAGTATCGTGTTTTAATCCATTTATAGGGGTTATTTTGAAAATCAAATTTTCAAAGTTTGGTTCCTCCCTGGGGTATTAAGCGGACAGTCCCTATGTGTCGTCCAATCTGTCCATTTTCACCATTCTTTTTCTTATTGAAACTCATATATTGCAGATAAAAGCGACAAATCATCCTTAATTATAAGCGTGTGGTGGATAGGACAATTACATGGTTCATGATTTAACCCTTTAAGAGAGATTATGCCTTTTAACGAGATTAGACAGTGAGCTTTTCTTCTTCTAAGGGCAACTGTTTCGTGGTTTCGACCTCAGATTGTGGTTATCATCCAAAGGATAGGGCATGGTGGGTATTAAGGGTAGGGCATGGTGGGTATGAAGGGTAGGGCATGGTGGGTATTAAGGATAGGGCATGGTGGGTATTAAGGGTAGGGCATGGTGGGTATGAAGGGTAGGGCATGGTGGGTATTAAGAATAGGGCGTGGTGGGTATTAAGGGTAGGGCACGGTGGGTATGAATGGTAGGGCATGGTGGGTATTAAGAATAGGGCGTGGTGGGTATTAAGGGTAGGGCATGGTGGGTATGAAGGGTAGGGCATGGTGGGTATTAAGAATAGGGCATGGTGGGTATTTAGGATAGGGCATAGTGGGTATTAGGGTGGGGCATGGTGGGTATTAAGGGTAGGGCATGGTGGGTATTAAGGGTAGGGCATTGTGGGTATGAAGGGTAGGGCATGGTGGGTATTAAGGTTAGGGCATGGTGGGTATTAAGGGTAGGGCATGGTGGGTATTGAGGGTAGGGCATGGTGGTATTAAGGGTAGGGCATGGTGGGTATTAAGGGTAGGGCATGGTGGGTATTAGGGTAGGGCATGGTGGGTATTAAGGGTAGGGCATGGTGGCTTGTTTCTCGAACAAGTGTCGTCGGCGTAAACGGAGATTGTGTGATCTCAATGTTGGGTCTGGCTGATTTTGTGTGATTGTATTTGTACGTTCGATACTCTTGGCTGACGGGACAATACTGACAGAACTAAGTCGTGATTGAAGGATATTCAGTTCTGTCGCGTCCTCATTGCGGCGGTTCAATGTCCACAATAAAGGGTGGCACGTGGTCCAATGCACAGCTCACAGATCACAAATTAGGTGAAGTTCAGCAACGTCGGTCTCGGAGAGTAGTTGGATGGGTGACCACGTCCAGCAGCTTGACCCCTGAGGGTTTCTAGGGCTTCGGTCCTGCCCCACACTGAAGCACATGTTACACATGTGGTGTCTCCTTAGGCAAGTGACTTTGTTCGAAATGTGCCTCTGTTCACCCAGCAGTGAGTGGGTACCCGTGTCTTTGTGGTCAAGAATATGTCGTTTCTATATTTTAAACCCCTCGACGACTGCTTTTGTTTGTCTTGCCTGGGGTTCCCTAAGTGTAGCAGTATGTTGCCCTCAATTACAGAGGGCGTAGATCGATGCTCATGATGTCAATCACTGGATGGCTTGGTCCACATACAGCCCGCCGTCATGTAGCTGGAATATTGCTGAGCGCGGCGTTAAACAGCAAACAAACAAACATTCACTGAAGCCATGATGAGATTCTGATACTCTGCTAGGGTGTAGCTTTCAGGGTTGGAATACTATTTACGGTCTTACATTATCTTATCCGCGCTTCTTTGTTGTAGACATATCAAAGATGCTTCTTAAGAACTTGAGGTTTCGGGATGCGGAGGAAGTTGAAGAACCAAGTAAGTGTACGATTTGTTGTTATTGTCTCATCCGTGTTGTGTTGACGTTCTACACTTGGTGGCTGTGAGGTCGTGGTCGCCCCTTGTAAGGACCTTAGTTTGGGGGCGCCACACCACTGCTTGCGGGTTTCACTATAATTTTAAACATCTACACACTTTGGACTTTCCTTCAACATTAAGATAACACCGTTATAGAATGTAATCTTGATGTACTCCTCGTGATGACTTCAAGCCAATCGGGACATGACTTAAAGAGAACGGTCGACACATCTTCAACACATGGTATATTTTGAATAACACTTTTTTAGTAAAATACAAACCATTGTACTTCTTGAGGTGGAACCCACACTCTTAGAGTCAAAGACAGGGATCTCACCCACCGATGCTTCCACAAAAATGGAAATCCGACACCAGGACCCACTTGCACAACGCGATCTTAGCGAAAAGACTATTGTAAGCCTATGTTAAAGTATGGGAGTTACAAACATCTTAGGGATAAGATTGCTTTGTGCAAGTTGGTCCTGGTCGGCTAGATCACGTACTTTGTGAACCTCTCTGATGAGTTTAAGTGAGTGAGTGAGTGAGTTGGGTTTAACGCCGCTTTTAACAGTATTCCAGTTATATCACGGCGTGTCAGCTTAATGTGGGAGGAAAGCCCGAAGTGATGCAGGTCTCAGACGTTTACCACTTCGGTGAAACCCACGAGCACGGGTATGGTGCTGACAAACCTAGAAACATAATTGGGGCGAACCGGGATTCGAACCCACGATCATAGGTTTCTGGCGTGCCCAAGGGACGCAACTCTGCACAGCGAATCGCGGCGCCTTACACGACTGGGCCACCCGTGCCCCCCTGATGAGTTTAAATTGGCATCGCATGGCTCCCATGTATGAATGCACAATTCCTTTTCAGAAAAGTGGTCAAATGTAACAAACGTTGTATTTGGGTTTAAGACTTTCTTAAGAAAGTACAATGCTTGTACTTTTGGGTGATTGAGCCCCATCCGGCACTTATTACATCTGTATCTCACAACAAACTTTGTCCTAGTATTGTTCTCTAACGTTGTTATGAATACAACAAGCATCACGACCAGCGCAGAACATATGTGGCCTTCTTCCGTGTATTATAAAGCCCCTAGTCGCTGAATGCTCATTGAATTCTTTCTAATTTCAGTGGCCAAACGACAGAAAATGCTGGTCAGCAATCTTGCCGCTCTACTTTCGGGTCTGAAACAGCGCCAGGCTGAACCCAACATGCGCATGCCCAGTCTGAGGTTTGGCAAATAAGTGCCCGGATGTACCGGATGAAGTTTCAATATGAGATCGCTTGCATTTTGACACGTTATTTCAGGCCCTAAGTTAGCGGTGCACACTTGTAGTCCAGAGAAGGCCGTCTTGAGTGACATGGAAAAGCTTTCTGCATGGTCCGGACGGACGAATCTGTATATGGGGAAAATGCCATTTTGATATGAATCAATGTTTTGGAATAAATATTTTTTGCTCTTTGAATAATGTCTATGGATTAATCTGTGTGGGCGTTGTTGTAGGAAGATGAATGAAGACTTTTGTTTGGCTTACTGTTAGATATAAACCGCTCTAACCTGGCGAATTATTACAATCATCAAAGGGAAAGTGCTTTATAATGAACGCGCCTTTCTTGACAATGCCCTCATAATGTATGACTTTGTAATATAAAGTATTGTGCAATTTAAACTCGTTCTGCCTCTGTAATAATTCATGCGCCGCTGGTAAAGTCGGGAGGGCCAATAAAGATGTGACGTTTTGTCAATGTGTTTCGTGTTCACATTTTTAACATCCATAATTTGTAACTGTTTTTCTGTGTAGTTGCCTGGGAGTATTGATATTGAAATCAGACAGTTGTGTTTGAATACCAGTGTGTGATCGCCGTCTTTATTTGATTTCATGGTTGTGATGTCTACCTTTGTTGAACATTTTTGAGAGAGATGTCGATTTGTTTGGGAAAGAAAACTGTTAACGCAGTGAATCTAATTAAAGAGTGATATGCTGGGAGTAAAGAAGGACTAGGAGATTACGAAAATATTTGAATAAAATAGAGTTTGAGTGTGAGAGATAGAGTGTGTGGGTGTTGGGTGGAGGTGTGACTGTGAGTGAGAGAGAGAGAGAGTGGGTGTGGGTGTTGGGTGGAGGTGTGACTGTGAGTGAGAGAGAGAGAGAGAGTGTGTGTGTGGGTGTTGGGTGGAGGTGTGACTGTGAGTGAGAGAGAGTGAGAGAGAGAGAGAGAGTGTGTGTGGGTGTTGGGTGGAGGTGTGACTATGAGTGAGAGAGAGAGAGAGAGAGTGTGTGTGTGGGTGTTGGGTGGAGGTGTGACTGTGAGTGAGTGAGAGAGAGAGAGAGTGTGTGTGGGTGTTGGGTGGAGGTGTGACTGTGAGTGAGAGAGAGAGTGAGAGAGAGAGAAAGAGAGAGAGTGTGTGTGGGTGTTGGGTGGAGGTGTGACTGTGAGTGAGAGAGAGAGAGAGAGAGAGTGTGTGGGTGTTGGGTGGAGGTGTGACTGTGAGTGAGAGAGAGAGAGAGAGAGAGAGAGAGAGAGAGTGGGTGTTGAGTGGAGGTGTGACTGTGAGTGAGAGAGAGAGAGATAGAGTGTGTGGGTGTTGGGTGGAGGTGTGACTGTGAGTGAGAGAGAGGGAGAGAGAGAGAGTGTGTGTGGGTGTTGGGTGGAGGTGTGACTGTGAGTGAGAGAGAGAGAGAGAGAGAGAGAGAGAGAGAGAGAGAGAGAGAGAGAGAGAGTGGGTGTGGGTGTTGGGTGGAGGTGTGACTGTGAGTGAGAGAGAGAGAGATAGAGTGTGTGGGTATTGGGTGGAGGTGTGACTGTGTGTGTTAGAGGGAGAGAGTGTGGGTGTTGGGTGAGTGAGTGTCGGACTTTGTTCTTTTAAAACAACTGGCTAATTAGAACAAGCTGGAAAATATTTCTTGTCACGTTTTACACACAAATATCGTGCACTGGACATGCTTGACGTTTTAAAAACATAATGCGTTGTGGGTAGAAAAAAAGGTCTGGCTCTATCTCGTCCCGGACCTTCTGAACATTACGTGGTTGGTCCTTTTGTATATTATATGTTTAGTTGACTAATCAACCTTTATAATCATACTTCCAATTATACAGTAAACTAGAAATACATTTCGCTTGGGTATAACAGTTAACAAGACACATTGGCTCGGGTGTTTATACCATGCTAAATAAGTACGGCATAGTGGAAATCACCAAGACGTATCTTCTGATCTATATGGTATTGGCAAATGGAAGTGTTATGATAATATCTGCGTGGAAATAGGCGATCAGATCTAATGGGTTCTAATGGTTGGAGTGATGAGATGGTGGTGCAAGAGGTCGTTAAATAGGTCGGGGTCGAAATCGAAATTTTCATTTTGCAGCTCACGTCACTAATATCGGGTAAAACCATCTCTGTTGGTGTGAAATGCGCGAATTCTTCGAGCCATGCTTCTGATGAGTCGAACAATGTCTGCTGGACAAATGTTTTCCCACTCACCAGTGATCGCAACAGCGAGTTGATTGAGTGTGGTGGGTGGATATTGAAGTTGACGTGTAAGGTCTGCCAATGTCGCCCAAGCCATGTTCAATGGCGTTAACAGAGGACATATTCAGCTGAGTTATACATCATACCACACTTAACACAGGGAATATTCAGACGAGTTATACATACTAACACACTTAACACAGGACATATTCAACCGAGTTATACATACATCATACCACACTTAACACAGGAAATATTCAGCTGAGTTATACATATGTCACAACATACTTAACACAGGACATTTTCAACCGAGTTATACATCCACCATACCGAATTAAAACAGGACATATCCAACCGAGATATACATCCACCATACCACACTTAACACAGGACATATTCCGCCGAGTTATACATCCATCATACCACACTTAACACAGGACATATTCAACCGAGTTATACATCCACCATACCACACTTAACACAGGACATATTCAACCGAGTTATACATCCACCATACCCAGTTAAAACAGGACATATTCAACCGAGTCATAGATCCACCATACCCAGTTAAAACAGGACATATTCAGCTGAGTTATACATCCATCATACCACACTTAACACAGGACATATTCAGACGAGTTATATATCCACCATACCACACTTTTCACAGGACATATTCAACCGAGTTATACATACATCATACCACACTTAACACAGGAAATATTCAGCTGAGTTATACATATGTCACAACATACTTAACACAGGACATTTTCAACCGAGTTATACATCCATCATACCACACTTAACACAGGTTATATTCCGCCGTGTTATAAATCTGTCACAACATACTTAACACAGGACATATTCAACCGAGTTATACATCCACCATACCCAGTTAAAACAGGACATATTCCGCCGAGTTATACATCTGTCACAACACATTTAACACAGGACATATTCAACCGAGTTATACATGTATGATACCCAGTTAAAACAGGACATTTTCAACCGAGTTATACATCCACCATACCCAGTTAAAACAGGACATATTCAACCGAGATATACATTCACCATACCACACTTAACACAGGACATATTCCGCCGAGTTATACATCCATCATACCACACTTAACACAGGACATATTCAACCGAGTTATACATCCACCATAGCACACTTAACACAGGACATATTCAACCGAGTTATACATCCACCATACCCAGTTAAAACAGGGCATTTTCAACCGAGTTATACATCCACCATACCACACTTAACACAGGACATATTCAACCGAGTTATACATCCACCATACCCAGTTAAAACAGGACATATTCAACCGAGTTATACATCCACCATACCTAGTTAAAACAGGACATTTTCAACCGAGTAATACATCAACCATACCACACTTACCACAGGACATTTTTAACCGAGTTACACATCCATCATACCACACTTGACACAGGACATATTCAACCGAGTTATACATCCACCATACCACACTTAACACAGGACATATTCAACCGAGTTATACATCCACCATACCACACTTAACACAGGACATATTCAACCGAGTTATACATCCACCATAGCCAGTTAAAACAGGACATATTCAACCGAGTCATAGATCCACCATACCAAGTTAAAACAGGACATATTCAGCTGAGTTATACATCCATCATACCACACTTAACACAGGACATATTCAACCGAGTTATACATCCACCATAGCCAGTTAAAACAGGACATATTCAACCGAGTCATAGATCCACCATACCAAGTTAAAACAGGACATATTCAGCTGAGTTATACATCCATCATACCACACTTAACACAGGACATATTCCGCTGAGTTATACATCCATCATACCACACTTAAAACAGGAAATATTCAGCTGAGTTGTACATCTGTCACAACACACTTAACACAGGACATATTCCGCCGTGTTATACATCCACCATACCACACTTAACACAGGACATATTCCGCCGTGTTATACATCCACCATACCACACTTAACACAGGACATATTCCGCCGTGTTATACATCCACCATACCACACTTAACACAGGACATATTCCGCCGTGTTATACATCCACCATACCACACTTAACACAGGACATATTCCTCCGAGTTATGCATCTGTCACAACACACTTAACACAGGACATATTCAACCGAGTTATACATCCATTTGACCACTTGCACACACCCCTAACCCTAACCCTAACCCTAATCCAACCCTAACCATTATCTACCACGAGGCACAGAAACGATCAGCGTCATATTAAACGTGTGTTTTTGCAATCTCGGAACCACCTATTTATGCATGTGCAGATGGATGTGACCCTGCATCAGCTTGACAAAGCTTTCCTGGCAAGCTACTTATACACTGAGGTTATTAGCCCAGTGCATTTCTGTGTTGTAAATATCCTGCATAAACTATTTTTTTCTCTTTATTATATAATGTCATTACTAAGATAGTGGATGTTTTTCATGGAAATACTGTTCAAGAAGACCTGAGTCATGTGTGACCAAGTCCTCTGAGGCGCTGCAATTCGCTGTGCAGAGTTGCGGCCCTTATATACACCAGACACCTATGATTGTGTTTTCAAATCCAATTTCGATCCGATTATGTTTCTAGGTTTGTCAGCACCATACCCGTGCTCGTGAGTTTCACTGAAGTGGTAAACATCTAAGACCTGCATCACTTCGGGCTTTCCGCCCACATTAATAAGCTGGCACGCCGTCATATAACTGGAATACCGTTGAAAGGGTCTTTAAACCCAACCCACTCACTCAAAGTGGTGTTAAACCAAACTCTATAATAGCTCTATAATAGAAGTTGAGAAGATGAGAACTTAAGATGTCCTTTATCTGTACATTCAGAATGTAAGTTCAACACTTAGAGTTCTACTGAACTTGTATAACGGCACACCACCTTCTCCTAGGAACATGTTCAACAAATGCCACAACTGAAAGCTAATTTCCGTACACATACATATCTACTTTACGCGTAACATTTCACTTATTGAACTACTTCGGATGTTATACATGAATGAACGTGTCCGTTGACCTGTATTATATAGTGGCTATATTTCACAATTTACATGTCAATGCCAAACACCAGTGGCCTAAAACACGATCAGTTATAGACATTTCCGATGACGCCCCGACGTCGTTGAATCATGGCACTCAACATTGCAGACCTCAGTGAGTTAAAATGTTCCGATATATTCCACTGGACTTCAACAACAGATGGAAGGACAATAATCA